AGAATTGTAATTCGTGATCTGATTTTAATTCACTGTAATTCATGACTTAGTTGTACGGCTGCTCTGAAAACTTTTGTAAATGCTCGCCTGTAGGCGATTTCTGGGTTCGCTTACGCTGAAAGGGTTACCAACTTAAATGGCCCTCTTAACAGGAACATTTGACACAGTTTTGATACAGAAGTTTTCTGTAATTAGATAGGGGGGAGTTAATGGACCGAAACATTCCAATTCAGGTTTTATTTTTTACTTTTACTTATTACTTCTTTGTTACAACTTTTTACATAACCAAAATATTAAAATTTAAATTGCGACACAAAATGCACAACCTAAACAACCCAGATTTAGAGGAAATGATAAGGCATGCTAGAAAAAGCTGACTGAAATTACAGGGAGATCAGAAAACACTGAATTCGGGATTGTCCAGTAGTGCCCTAACATTTTTAAATCAGTAACTTTGACTAAATTTTCTGATACATCTTTTTAAAATCTCAGGCCATTCCGTGCACTAAACTTACTTTGCACTCTTTTAGCTAACTTTTACACTTTTTTTGCTAGATTTTTGCTGTCTTCCGACTAATTTTTTTTCCCCTGATTCAGTTTTTCGAGATTTCTTAGCTTATGGGCTATTTATTGCGTCACGGCAACAAAAATATCGCCCTTATCTCCTCACTCTCTTTTCCTGACCCCCTCCCCTTCCCGTTTCTTTTGGTTCTTCCTCAGTAAATCACTGATTTGGCACTAAGCTTCACCCCGGCATTTTACATTTTTATTTGAAGCCCATGTTTTGCGCCTTACTGCTAGAATTGTTGCGTTAGATTTTTCAGAATTTTTGATATTTTCCTTCCCAGCACTTTTGTGGGTTTTTTTTTGCAGACACCTTATGAGAAATGGTAAAACACGAAGATCAAGTGCTCAGCCTGCTGCATCTTCATTACAACAACGGATTGCTGAAAGTGGACTCAGTAGGCCAGCACCAGTGAAGCGTACAGCAAACGTACCGCAAACTTATGGTGGTGGTATAAGCGCAAAGCGACGCTTTGTGTCAGGCACAAGCAACAACGATCAGACAGTAGCTGGTACATTACTGTGCCCAAATGGGGCCACCCCATACAGTAAGTGTTTAGTTTTTTTATCAAAAAAAAAAGACTAATTCTTGCAATCGTTGCGTCTACCTCACTCAGCCGAGCAGTTTCGCTTCAGATTTGCAGACCTGACACGATTGCAGATGCTTAGAATGATTTGAATTTGCTTTTTTAACTTTTATAACTTATAAAAATTTGTGAGGAACTTGAGGTATGATAGTTGGCAATCTGCCAGAATTACCCAAATAATTGATATATAGCTAAAATTAGCTAATAATATCTCATTGGACTTGGATCAGCTGATTTGGTTCTGCATGCAGATGACAACACCTTTCGCAGTTGCTTTAACCGATAGTTGCATTGTCGTTGCCCAGAATAATGGTCCTCTAAAAGTATTTCCAGCTTAGCGTGCTCTCAACTGAAACTACTGACTTGATAACCATTTCTCGAGATACCGTTGATTTCTGTTGAAAATTATTACTTCGTCTCAAATATTGCCTTTACCTTTTGAACCACGATGAGATACTTTTGATTTAATGTAGGCAGTAAGTTTTAAAAAAAATGAGTGCTCGGAAAATGACCGAGAAAACTGATGCTCGCCAAGCAGATCATTTGAGAAATAACTGACATATTGCTTGTCCGGTATTTGAATAGTTTGTGAAAATAGCAATTTTTCTTTGAAATTTTGTAAATTTTACTCCAATCTGCTTCGCAGCTTTCTTTTTTTATATGAAAAAATAAGAAAACACGGTTGGTAATTTCTTCTTTCTTGAAAAAAATGAAAACTAAAGGGAAAAAACGATTTTAAATACTTTTTTCCATTACCAAGGGGGAGAAGCGGAGGACAGGTTACAGCGAGTTTTGATTTATAACATAGAATAGTAAGTTTGTTTACATTTTTCCCCACAATTTTCCAGCTGGTTTGGATTCGTTGATGCAGGATTGCAGCGAGCAGGCCACATTCACTGTTATGGATAGTGGTCGAGTATAAAGCATTGATCTGATCAAAAACACACTCAATTGAAATGTATGCAGTTTGTCAGTTTTCACGCTTTTATATTTTTTGAAACTATTATTGCATTCGCTGGTGCACATAGTGCAGTACTAAGTCGCACTACTCTTATTTTAAGGGTTGAGAGTTCAACGCTGCCAACGGACAAACTATTTTTATGCATTTTTCCGTGTATGCAAATTGCAAAAACGCATATCGGCAAGTGGCTGTGTATGTATGTATGTATGTATGTATGTATGTATGTATGTATGTATGTATGTATGTATGTATGT